ATGAGGCTATCGATTCCTTTATTTACGTATCATCTTCACATTTTGTGGCTAATTATCGGTGCTCAGAACCTCAACTTGATTCCTTGATAAGGATCGGTGACAAAACCAGATCTTTAATCAAACATGTATCCTTAATCCTGTATTGATGCGCTTGATTATCGACATGTTTGACGCTCGGCATATTCTGGAATAAAACAGGTTTTAGAATATTTCTTTAAGCATTTAGAATAAAATAAAAATTTTTGCTAAAGTGAATAAGAGGACACTTTATTATTAACGGACTAGATCTTTATAATCCTATAAAAGTTTTACGGCATTTCGTTACATACATATGTTGGACAATTTCATAAATACTTTCAACATATTTAATAAAATATATCGAGAGATATATTAATATATCAACAATTTACAGATTTATTCACACTTGAGCTAAATTTAAATAATTTTAGTTCGAACTCGTAGAATACGTTTTAATACAATTGGTTTTACTTATACTGTTAATCCGTGTTATATATACTGTGGTTGTATCAACCGCTTTGGTGTGAGATACAAATATCCATTACAAGATGCTGACTGCAATATTCACATATTTTGCAAAATTATTTATCGACGTTTGATATTGGGAGATTAGCGTCGCACGCCGTGCGAAACTTATTTACGATGCTCCGACTATTATTAATAAGAGTCATGGCACCGTTACTCAGCTCGATTTCGCTCGATCGACTTTATGTAATCGTTCTCTCTCTTTCTCAACAGAGAGAGAGAGAGAGAGAGAGAGAGAGAGAGAGAGAGAGATATCAAAAGAAGACACAGATCGTTTCAACTGTCAATTTCTCGGTAGAACGATAATGATCGGTTTTGCACTGTTGTTTATTAGTTTGTCGCGGTCATTGTCCGTTATTGGGCATTGCGATCTCTCGCTATGACGTGAATCTTCGCCGTCGTGGGAGAGTCGTTCGATCTGGATCACCACAAAAGGGATCGCCGCGGGTAAGAGAATCGCGCTTCGCAGCATTTGCCATCGTCAACCTGGTGGATGAGCATGCTGTGTCACGGTCACTTGACCAGGAAAACGTTTAACGCTCGGCGAAATCAATGAAAACATCCTTGGTAATACTTTGAAGTGATTGAGACGTTCTAATAGATCGTTCGGCTTGATGAAAGAGAGAGACGTGGTGAGAGTCTATAAAGTCACCGCTTTAAACTTCGCTATTCTGTATTTACGGATAATGGCAATATCTTGCCAGTTGCTCGGACTTGTCAAATTCTCGTTAAACTTGGCGGGAAAGTTTAGCGTAAAATTCCACCACAAGAAAGTTTGAAATGTACGATGTACGCTGATGTGGAGTCTCACGCTTACGTTTCGCAGTTGCATAAAACTGAACGTGTGCTAGGCGAGCGCTACATATGTAATACGATTATGATGCGATGCCCGGCATCGCGTAATAACTCGTGCGTTGTGCGGCGATGTTGAAGTGACGTCGAAATAGCTTAGAAAAGAACGGCAATGCCCAGCACTGCTCATTGAATCTCGCATATATCACAGACCGCTCGACTCGCTTCCGCCTGAAACGAAAGTAGGATGATGGCGGTCTATTATTTATACATAAATGGAAGCTCGCCCGCGCTCTCTTCGCGTCCGCGCTATTTTCACTTCGTTACGGGAGTGAAATTCTTTTTGCACACGACGCGTGCGGAATCGCCGGTAAAGAATCACGATGCAGACTCGATAAATTCTGCGCGTACACGTATTTATAAACGCGAATGTACAAATGCATGCGTTGACCGAACATAATTTTACATAGAAACTCACAGATCTTTTTAATAAGTGCACGAAAGCATATGCGATTTAAAAATGAGTTTGCGTATTTTTCGACGTCATAATGGCATTCGTGAATAAATTTCGGCATGGTGGTTCGTCGAAAATTGCTTTTGAAGAATTATAAAAATAGAATGTTAAATTATAATAGTTAAAAAAAATTCTTTTTTAAAATTATTTTGAAGTAAACAAAAGGTATATCTTATAGATTTTTAGATGCTGAAAACACAATGCCGCAAGTTAAATTTTTAGATTTTTGAAATAATTGAAGTTTAATGTGTAAAAAATGTTTTTTTTGCAATATTTATACTTTTTTCAAAAAAGGATAATATTATCTTATATATAAATTATGATCGGAAGTCATGAATGTATTGTTTATCCTGTATATAATGCATTTTCTTTATTTCAATATCTTATTATTTAGCCGTTTATAAAAAAAACTTAAATAGAAATATAACAAACTTTTCGCCTGGCTAAAAAGTAAGATATTAAAATAAAAAAAAAATACATTTATATAATACATTCATGACTTCTAATCGCAATTTCAAGATAACATTAATTTTTTTTTTACAAAAATATCGTAATTTATTCATTTTTTTACAATAAACTTTAACTATCTTGAAAATATAATGTGCTGCAGTTTCTCATTTACGACATTATTTTCAACATACAAAAATAAGAAACATCTAATATGTCCAGTAATTTTTTGTAAATTATAATATTATTTTCAAGTAGATTTGATATTATTCGCATTTTATTAATATATAATTTTATCTGAAAAATAAATTTATTCACACATATGCATATACAGAATACTATGGGGATTATTTACGTTTGTTATTATATTGTAAATATTGTCAAGGTATATTTTATCAAAGTTGTAACCAATTAATTTAGTTCCATCCTAAATTAATTACTATTCTAGTATACTACATCGAGATATTGCAATGTAGCAATCTGGAGAAGTATTATGCAAATTTGATTTTCTCAGATCGCGACGGAATATTTCTAGTGACAACGTTATCGCATGAATTATCTCGTTGCCTGTAGAATTGATATTTTAAAGACAGTACGTGGAAAATTTCCTGAAAAGTCGTGTTCTGCTATCTGCTATCATACGTTATATGATATACATTGATCGCCCCACCTCACTTGCATCGTTCATAACCGACTAACGGCAATCTGCCGATCATTGGTTGTATAATACACACCTGTCGCGATGTAAACGATGATCGACGAATCAAATTCCTAGCTTCGGTCACATTGCATGTCATCTCGTTTGCTCCAAATTTACATATCTTTTTATCATGTATTTTATGGAGGATCGGATAACTGTTATCTATCTGCGATCCGCTAGTCTTATCACTTTGATTGCAGCGAACAAATCACTGCTTGAAAGCAGGATTTTAATGTTTCCTACCTGTTTACATTATCGTCCCTATTATATCATAAACTCGACGTGATGAGATTGTAAAACGCGACATTTAACTAATTGAAGGATTTCTTATCAGTTTTGACTTAATAGTTTTGATTTTTAACGTTACATACTTTTTCTACGCGACATGAAAGGCACATTAATACGAATACTATATACTATACTTCTCTTTCTTTTTAGAACATTCTGAATATATTCTTTTTATTCAATCTCGAATCTACTCCTTCGACAATTACATGTCGTCCACCTCCATCTCTTCATCATGATAGACAAGTTAGGTGGGGATAAAAGGAATGGTCGCCTTTCGGGCAGGGCCTCCGCTTGTAGTGTTTAAGAACCGAAGGCGGGCAACCGACGAGGACCTCTCCAAAAGAAGAGCAGGGGAATACATAAAAGGACAAAACGGAAACAAGGATGGGACATGTCGAACGATGAAGGACTGCTAAATGAGACCTACGGAGGATGGAGAGGGAAGAGAACCGGCGTACCGGGAGCTAAACAATGACGAACGCATCATGTCGTAGCAGGAACGATATACAATTGGGAGGAACGACATGGAAAGAGACAGAAGACTTGACGAGAGAGTGCCGAGAGAGGTCCGGAGGTGAGCTGAAACGAAAGAGAAGCCGGTACGTTTCCTCGGCAGGGAGCCCGGCCAATCGGAGCACGGTGGGCGCCGCGGGTAGGAGGAGACAGTTCCGCGCCGACAGGCGATGTAATCACCCGCGGCCGTGTCCGCTGCTGCTCTCTGGCCCCTCCGGGGGCCTCTTCTCTCTCCCTCCGTATTGTACCGCGCTGCGGCGAAGCCGCTCCTCGCCTCTTTCTCCGCGCCCATCGACATAGCCGTCGGGCCCATTCTACTTCTGCTGGCGGCGGCAACGGGGCAAAGAGTCCCGGCGGTCGGTCACCGGCTGGATCCGTCGGGTCGCGAACTCCATGACCGAGAGAATGCCTATCGGTCGCGTTCGCTCGCATTCGGACCACTGTCAGCCACGCGACAAACAAGCTTGTTGCGGCTGCTTCAGCTTCTACGTTCATCGCGCCTCCGTCGGGTTGCTTTGCGACCTCCTGACGCGTGCCTCCAAGGTCCATAAAGTAAGGGCGGGAGCAGAATCTTGCATAATACATAACGCATAATGCATAAGAAACTGAACCAATTAAAGTCCTTCATTTCTTTCCTTTCCATAAAATAAGAGGCTGTGATTGGTTGATTATTTTATGCTTTATGCAAAGCTCTCTGTAAAACTCTCTGTTCCAATACTGATAGGATATTTGCACTGTTTGCAGTCTGTCCGATCTCTTGGAGAGTTAAAGATTTTATTCATATATCATATTGATTATGGAGATGATAGTGTTTATACAATCTCCTTGCAGTCTAATCTCAGCGATATTATTGAAAATGTAAAAAATTAGCAATGATAGCTTAAATAAATTTATCCATAGATACGATCACGCAGATATTTTAAATTCATGGACGTGGTGGATAATACATATCTCAATATAAAATCACATCTAGGATGATACCAGTAAAATAGTCGAGGATACGCGCGTTTGGCAAGGAAGTGAACTGCAGACAATCTCTGACAACGATACGCCATGCCGTTCATGTAAAAAAGCGAATACATCGCTTGAAGGTGATTTCATGAAGACGTAAAACATAAGATGTGCGTTTTATGTCGCATCATATGCCGTTCCTAGCACTCGCTGAAGTCCACTATAAATGCAGCCCCAGGCAAGATGGTCTCTTTCTTGAATGTTTGGGTGAAGCATTAAATTGAGAGACTGGTTCAGTATCCAATAAGAGCTTAACAACGTCTTTATTCAACGATATTTTATGCAAGTTGGTAGCCCATGCTACTCACGATGATGCTTGAGAGGATGCGTTGATAAATATTGTGACGGTGGAGTAAAGTATCGTAAAGTTATGAGTACCGTTTATTCCCTTCGTTTCTCCTGAAACATCACGAAAGTGGTGTTAGAACTTTATCTTTTTAACGCTTGACTTGATATTTACGTGCCATAATTATTAATATTATTAGAAAATAATGAAATAAAAAATTACACGTATATATACTGGAAGATAATAAAACAAAAAATTATACCTATACAATACGTGAGATTTTTGCTTTATTATTTTCTAACCAGGTATTTATCCAACAACAATATATTATTCAATAAGATAGATAATGTGAGGATTTAAAATACTTTATGTGGGTGACTTCAGCTTCATTGACCTCCTACCAGGCGTTTCAAATTGGAAATCGAATAAGGTGCCGATGATCAATATATAATACACGCTTGGACGTGGTGTGTAATTTTATGTTATTTTCTCATTACATTCAGCGGCAGCATAAAAATAGGACGCTGGTGATCGCGTAATCCGCTGCCGAAACGGGTTGATTAAAGTATTTTGAGACGATAAATAACATTTTGATGGTCATCGATAGAAATTCATGAAAATTAATATTATACGATACCGTTATCCAGTTAGCCAATATATTCAAAACCATATCACAACATAAATAAGAACAGTAAGTTCATTCTATGTCGGCACTTTTGATCTGAATGCTGAATGATTACCATGCGAAGTTAACGAAATTGCTTCGCTCTTATTGATTAATTTTAAATCCAATCATAATTCTTTATTTCAATAGAAAAAATTGATGGTGAACATTCGCCATGTTGTTGATTGTGTAATTTGATGTGCGAGAGGTAATTATTATTAGTACGATTTTTGGCAAAATGAGCCCTGTTCTTATTTATACTATGCTCCTGTGAACGGATTTAATTTAAAACATCATCTTTTAGGTCCTATAAGACTAACTCTCTCGTAATGAATAAAATTCCTGTCTATCTATTCACGTCGCAACATCACGTGTGCATAACATATTGGGATTCAACATACCAATAATGTCTTTCGTGGTGTATTCGCGCATGGTGTATAATAAATTTCTCGTTGAAACAAGCGTGACGAATAAAAATAAAAAAGTTACTCGCGGGGCGGTAGGAAGCGGAACAGACAGAAAAGACATTACCTACCCTTACGTCCGGCAGTCGGAAGAAAGTTGCACCTGCTGCTGCTGGCTGGTGAATTTGCCGACCTACGATTGCATCGCCGTTCGCTCAACCGTCCAGGAATTGTTTTTCCAAGCGATATGAATCTACGCGTATATATGCTTGATCGATGAGAATCCATTTTCGAAACACCTTTGACGGGCGAAAGTGGCACATCGTTATCGGCCATCACGCCACGATATCGCTCTATCATCCGACAGCTCCTCCTGCGTTTCTAATGTCTCGAGAAGTATCTCGATGTTATTTACACGCAACGTCCCGCCTAATAATAAGATAACACGTAATGTTTAAATGAAAATAAACCCTTTCATCTTTTGTTTTGTATATATTTCCATAGGAGATGTAACTTATATGAATAAAGAACAATTTTGTTGAAGTGTCTACAAAAAATTTAGCTAGATACAGATCTGCAAATAATTTAGTTGGATCATCAAAAATAATTATGATGGAAACTCAAGTATGGAGAGCAATGTTGGAAAAAGTTTTGACTTTCAAGTAACCAGCTTGTAACATCCTATTAATATAAATTATTTTGGTGGTCCAATAAAATTGTTTTTAGATCAGTATGTAGCTAAATTTTTAGACATTTCAACAAAATCGTTATTTTCATATACTGAAAACAAAAACCGTAACCGTCTTTCTTTGCCTTTTTCAAAGATTCTCACTGAACTATTGAACAACGATATTGTTTATTTATTCGCCTGCGCCACTATAGCCCGTGGCGAACAAAAGAGTTGGCTTTCACTCCCGCCGTCGCGTAGAACATCAGCTTCTCTATTTTCTATTTCTCGAGCCGTGCTTCGCGCATCTCTTGTGCCGCCCAATGCCGCGGGCGAGCTGTCGATCGGCATTCGAGGGGTACTCTGCCCACGTACGCTCCCTTTTTAATGTCAAAAGGAAGAAGACGGGCTCGGAGTTGCCGCCCTTATCTCTCCGTAACGCGTAATCGACAGATACGCAGAACGAATGCAATTTCTCATTAAATCGTGGGTGTACGGTCGCGGTCTTAAGGTCTTTATTTACGTTTATCTTCCGTTGCACATACTCTGAGTGCGTTATCTTGCGAGATCAAAGTATACGTTGATGTAGCGGCTAATTCGCGCCAGCGGCTTCTCACCTCGACGGAAGGTTTCGCGGTCAGGTTCAGGTACCAATTCACGCGAGCTTCTCGCTTCGGGGTTGTGCATCGTGCTATGAGATTTTCTGAATTTTTCTATCTTTCGTCTGAATCAGTTATTGACTGCAAGTAACACCCTCTAATGGTCAATTCACTTGAACTGCTGTGCTGTCTTTTTCTTTTAAGATTTTTGGGATATTTTTAATATGCGCAAGTTAATTAGTTTTTTAAATCACCACGTACTTATTCATAATTTGCATCATTACTAATATGTCTGACTGTCTTGAAAGACGTTTCCTCCACAAAATAATGGAGATTCGGTAATTTCAATATTTATCTCTCTCTCAGAATAAGACACGTGTCAGTTATTTACGTATATAATGTATTCGTCCCCGAAGAAATTGATTACACGTTGATATATTAATTAAATAATTCTGGCTCGCGCGCGTGAGGCTCATGCAGATCAACCGAAAATTTTGGTCAATTATCTAATTATCTTATCGAGAATCTCCAAGTAGCGTCCGGTCACGACCTGATGTTTGCACCACGTCCAAGCAACACCCTTTTACATCGATATCATGGAAGACGCGTGCAAGAAGAAGGTCGTGGCTACCGGACTTGCAGTCCAAGCGAGGACTTCGCGATTGTGACGAAAAGGGAAGAAAGGGGCCCGTCCCTACGAAGAAGGGGGCTCCGACTCGTTATAAGGCGTCAGGTGCCCGGGACCGTTGACGTACGGCCGTTACCATCCCCAGAAGAGCCCCGCGCGATAATAATATATACCATTAATGCGAATACCAGGCGGGGAGGCGCGCCGCGTGCGTGTCTTCGAGAAGCGGCGCGCCGGCTCTGCCCTTAGACTTTGGGGCCCGGGGGCCATGTGCGCACCTCCGCGAAAGGTGAAGGGCGTTTAACGGTCGGAGTGTACATTTTTCGGGATCCGTCGGGCAGAGCACCAGCTGATCACCGTCCGCTCGTTCGGCCACTCTATTTAGGGCCATGTGCTTCCCGCGCTTTTTCTTTGGCCGCCTATCGAGCTAGACGATTTCTCATTTGCTTCTTTTTGGTATCCTCCGAGTTCGTTGACTCGGAGTATCCTTGAGCTCGTCGCCACGCGTAATCCGAGGCTGGCAAATAGAGTATTCGTTCATATCGAAAACTGCACTATCGAGAACAATGTGTGCGAGGAAAGACAAAGAATTTATCAATTTGTTTTCAGTTATTATAGGATACTCTCTACATTATTTGGAGTGGAATCTCATTCTAAAGAGAAAAAAATTAAATCAGTTTTAAAAAAAGAGTCGCTTAATTTTCAATTTAAGAACGAGATCTCACTTTGCAGAGTGAAATCTCGCTCTTAAATTGAAAATTCACTCTAATGGGCTTTCTATAATAAGCTGTTAGATAAGGTGTAAGCGAGTCAGTAGTGTGTCAAGTTGCAACAATGAGTCAGTAATCAATGACTGTGTGGAAATAGTCAAATTTCATTTCTTACGATTTAAAATTTAGATTACGTTATGACTGACCAATCATTATTGTTATTTGTCCTAAGAATTATCACCTTTCTGCTTGTCTGAAATATTATGACGTAACGATCTAATATGATTTATTCTGGATGTAAATCTCAGGAAATTTAACCTGAGATTTATGATTCTGATCTACTATCAGTATGACACGAGTATATTTAACGATTTATTGTAGAAATAAGCCCATACAAATTTTGAAAAGTATGTGAACAAAAAAACAAATTTTAACCTTTACTTCTCATCATCGTTCTTTTATTTCTCACTCACTATAGAGTCATTCGCGTTTTACACTTCTATTAAACGGTTACATCGTAATAACGTGATTTCATTTAGTTTCAACCTTCTAGTATACGATTAAAAAACAAAATGATAATACAATTGGTGAAACTACGTAATTTTAGTACGCTTTACCAGCGTACGCGAGAAACTTTGTTCGGAAGGGGGACAAGAGTTGAGATATCATTTAATTCTGGAATTTACTAATTATAAATTATTATAGAATTACTTTAACGAATCGTAAATAAAATTCTTGTTAAATATCCGTTTTCATTATGAATATTCCGATGCATAAGAGCACGAGATGTGTATCCTTCCAACGCATTCCGCTTGCGCGCCATGATGATCGTTTGCCGTCGGCCGGCAAATATTGTGGGAGAAGGAAAGAAAACGAGCGCACGAGGGAAGCGAGTATCAAGATCGAGATATCATTAAGCCAGGTCGAGTGATCTAGTCTGGTGAATATTATGGGGTCGAACGATGGAAGTTGATGAACTGACCGTACGGTAAGGGTGGACGAGGGAACGTTGCACCTTACTAGTGGGCACAGGTGCCACAGCTGTTTCAGCAAGTGCAACGAACGCCCGTAGAACACACGGGCATTAGAACTGTTGCAGACGGTGGGCGCAGCGTAAGGGGTGCATAACTATTCGACTAAAGCGGATGCAGCGAGGTGTTGCGCGTTGCTTTTTATGGCACGACCGTTGAAGCAGTTCGCGACAACAGGTTGTGCGCACGTGTGACTTCATCTTCATTAAGAAGACCTTTTCAGAATGTCGCGAATTACATCTAATTGCACAGTGCGAAGGCACTAATTCCTTCGAGCATCGAAATAAACCGACTGTGACACGGTTTCAAGAATAATATTTTTTTTTTTTCAATTATTCATATATTTCTATCTTCTAGCGCAATGCATTAGATAAGCGAATAGTATTACCTATCAACTTTTACTAAGATTATTGTATTCACACAATTGGAGTTCTACTCGACTTCTAACAGTTCACGTCAGTCATGTACCGAATTTAAGTTCGCTTCCGTTTCACACGCCCACGATTCGTATGATAGAGAGACGGGCGTTGATTCGTATTTGACCGTCGGTATAATATGAACGCGGCTACATGTAGCAACTTTGTCCAAAGTTCAATTTAGCTGACGGCGGCGGCGATGACGGAGGGAGGGCGGGAGAAAAGTTTTGTTCTGTTCAGGAAGCGTGGTTCCGGCTCTCTCGGTTCCGCCCATAACGGTGACGGTGTGAACTTCGTGGATCCCGTCGCGCGATCGCCACGACGGACTTTTTCGGCGGGATTTGATTGGCGGTGGTGTGCACCGTAATTAAAAGGGTGATCATTAAGCCGTCTTCCGTTCTGTCGTCATCGACGGTTTGCTGTCTATGTATACATAGAATATCAGCGACGCGGATGAAATCAGAAGTTCGTTCGTGGATCCTCGCGTAGATAAGAGGCGGAGAGAGAGATTCTTGCCGCTTTCTGTAATTTAACTTTAAATCGAAGTTAAAGTATCTGGAATAGGACGTTCTTTGGTAGATCGAAACGCTTTCTCCTCAAATGGCGATTGAACCGCGACTTATTTACCGAGTGTCTTGGTTTTCTTTGACAGAACCTCATCACCACTTTCGACCTAATCCACGCAGCGTAATTTAGTTACAAAGAACTAAATTCACGAAGATAGATAAACGACTACTGCTCTGTCGTTTTTGTTCGATGCCATTCAATTGTCGACAGTGAGGGATTCCCAAGATCAGATGAACGATCGTAATTATAAAAAACAATCAAATAAATTCTAATGTGAAGCAAATCACTTCAATCTTTATCTACAAACTCCCTTCTAGTAGTATAATTGTCAATGTTTATTTCTTTCATCAATTAATATTGTTCAACGACGCGATCAAATTCTCAAAAGAGAAAAAGAGACCAATCATTTCTATTTATTTCCAAAAAGATGTTTGACGTGAGTCGATACTTCTAATTTATCGTATTTTCGAAAGATGATCGATGTTTTAATTTCACCCATCATTGACCTCAATGCTCAAACCACTCTAACGTTATAAATGTTCCGACGGCTGTTAGAAGTCGAGGAAACATGGCACATTAAGTACATCGATTCGCATTATGGATACGACTTTAAATAGCTATTTTATCCTTTCTAGCACAGTTTGCGTTGTTCTCGCCTTTTAAAATGCAATGGCAAAAAATCAGTATCTTTAATAGCATTGTTGTTAATTTGTCATAGTTGTCTAACGCAATATTGCAATAAACAATCGTTTAATATTTCTTTTATCCAACTTATTCATTTATCTATAACGACCAAGAAAGAACAAAAAAA